CCCCTCCTCTGTTCCCGCGAGGCGAGGGTGCTGCGGGGCCGAGGCCCCTCTCCTGTTTTCGTGCCGTGGACCCCACTGCCACCCCCCACGCTTGGCTGGCTCAACTTCCTTTTCTTTGATGCGGACCAGAGCCCGGCGCTGGGTGAAGGGTGGGGGGCTGGGGCGGCGCTGGAACCACTATAAACACTGGGGTTCTGGTTTTCCGAGCAAGTCGCGGCAGGGCCCGGAGCCGCGGCGGGAGGCCTGGCGCCTGATCCCTTCTCCGCGCCCCTGGGTCCCTGACCACCTTACCCCCACGGCCCTGGGAGCCACCAGACAACCCTACGTCCCTGCAACCCTGGGCCTTGGGAGTGTTCTTCCTTAGAGTGATCTAGGAGTACCACCTTGGTGGGCAGCTTCCTTTCCCGGTGCTGGCCTCTGCCTCTGTGAACATGCTCTCCAGCCCTTTCCTCTCTCCACTGTCTGCTCCCTTTCTTCTGGCAGCTTTAGGATCCGAGAATGTGGCTCCCAAGCCTATGTCTGTTACTGGCTAAGAGTGTACCTTCTGCTCCTTACAGAGGTTTCCCATCTGCTCATGGGCTCAGTGCAGGTACCTTGCAAAGGTTTCTTGCCAATTCGTTGAAACTAGGTGTGTTACCTGGGCATCAGGATGACAAATGCCTGGCAGATGTTGTTTCTGCAAGCCCTTTAACCCGTTGATTGTCACATCGAATAAATTAGGATAAAGCGTGTATAAATTAGAGGTTATAGACAAGCGGTACCAGATTTCCTTTTCCTTATAGTATCCCCACCTCTAAAGCATCTTATTTACAAAAGGAATGGTTGAAATCAGCACTTAAATTAAGGCAGGGCTCCAGTGGCCCCAAGTAACCCTATCTGAACCTCTATCTAAAACATTGCTGATGGTCTATGTTCCAGCCATTTAGTGCCCATGTGACCTTGAGCAAGCTACTTAACTTCTCTGGGCCTTGATTTCCTCATCTGTAAAATAGGGATAATTATGGTAACTAGCTCAAGATTGGAAGTTAAATCATTACTTGTTTGAAAAGTCCTTAGGACAGGGCTTGGTACAGAAACCGCTCGGCACGTGTTAGTTCTGTTTCTTGTTATGCACATCCTGCACAGAGCTCGGTGGTTCTGCCACGGTGGGGGCAGGGGCCGTGCTGGGGTGTTAGTGTGACCACAGCCCTGGGAACCCCAGCCCAGGGAGTGAGGAAGGAAGGACAGGTGTGTCCAGACCCAGGCCTGCAACCTTGCTGCCTCTGTTGTGGTCACAAATTCCTCTTAGCCTTGGGAGAAGAGGGAAGAGATACTCCCCCCTCCACCCCGTGGACTCTTTGTGCCCTGGGAAAGCTGAGCCAGCTGGCCAGGGCTGGGGCCCGCTCTCAGGATGAAGAGAAGATAGTTGGGGAACAACCTGGGGGAAGCGAGAGGACCTGCTGGGACACTTGGGCATTAGGCACACAGCCCTAGGAGTGGGCCCACTTGAGCAGTTTTGTGACTAGGCCCTGGCCATGGTGAGGATGCCTGTTGCCTGTGAGCATCCTCTGTGTAATTCATCCCTGTTCATTTGTAGGCTGCATCAGATGGGTACGCATGCATCTTGTGCACTGTGTCAGGTGTCCAGTGAGGGATTGAGAAGGCCTGAAATGCAGGCCACACTATTCTCCAGGCTGTGTGTCCTGGAGAAAAAGAACCTGTTCACTGTGTTCTTGGGGCAAGCCCTGCCCAGAGAGGACCCGTTTTCTGGTTCTACCAAAGCCCTGGAGTAGTTGAGCTGTACCCCAGCCACCTGAGCTTGTGATTGCACATCCACACTCAGCTGAACTGCACACCTCGAGTGCTCCCCCTCCCTGGGCTTCCGGCTGCTCTTGTGAAGGTCTTTGGGCTGCCTGGGAGTCCCCAAGGGGCATCCCTGGTGGCTGAACAGGCACACCCTCTGAGCATGGCCCCAGGCAGCTTCCTGCCTCCTCCCTGGGGGCTTGTTAGATGTTCCTGGCACTGTGCCCATTCTGTGCAAGCCCATAGTAGCCATGGGATGCTTGCCCTGGGGTCCTTGGGCCCTTCTTGCTTATGCTTCTAGAGAGACCTTGGAACTGGAGATCATATCCCCTTTCCTGTCACCTGCCCTCCCCTACTGAATCTCCAGACCCCTTAGGACCTGATGCTTGACTCATATACTATGTCTGTGGTTTAAAACAGTCCTTGAAGCGGAGCTCCCGGTTTGCTTTGCCTTGGGTCCCTCATTGAGACCCTCTTGACTGTTGATGACCAGCGTATTCTTAGGGCCCCCAGGTGAAGGGGTGTTGTGGTCTCATCCAGTGGTCAGAGAAGAAAGTTGGAGGACAGTCTGTGGGAACTACAGGTTCAGCTGGAAGTCTCTGTGAAAGGCATGAAGTGTGCAGAATTTTAGTTCTTTTGCACCAAAAACTGCCATGTGGTGTCCAAGGAGCAGAGTATGTGGTCAGGAAGAGGAGGGACACTCATGCAGGGCCCCCAGCCTGGCCATGCTGGAAGAAGTGAACCAGACCTGCTCCTGTGGCTTACTGTGGGCCTATAGGTCTCCTTATTTGGTAATTAAATCACCAAAATGTGAGGTATTTATCTTCCCCTGATCCAGAAGTATCTTACTGGAGGGCTTTGGACACAGGGTCTGAAGCAGACTGGAAAGAAACCTGTGGCCTGCAAATTGCAGTCACAAAACCCTACTGAGAAGAGACATCAGGGCCCTTGGCACTAAGTAACTGCTGGTTCTCTGACCAGGGTCAAGGCCACCAAGAGGCCCCCTTGCTGGTGTCTTGTTTAGTCTTCTGCTGGCCAGTTGTGGCCTCAACTTGGCTTGAGTCTTTGTCTTCCCCCGTGTCCCATCAGCTGGCCTCTTGGTGGCTCTCAAGAGCTCTGGCTGGGAAAGCTGGTTCACTATTCTTGCTAAATGCCCCCACCCCCACCCCGAGCTTCCGGCCTCCCCC